GTAACGATAAAACGATAAAATCCAAATAATTCAGAGATAAAATTTCATGACTTGCGTCACTTGATTTTTAAAATTGCACAACATTTTAAAATTGCACAACGCGCATGACGGAAACATTTACAGTACATGTGCACAGGTAAGTAAGTACATTGAATTTCACAGGTAAGTATAGATGTCATGCTAGGATGAAAACTATTCAATCGATCAAAATAAACTTCAATTTATGAATATAAATACACAAAATAGCTCATCTGTTTTAGTAAATCAATGAAGTATTGAATTCCCTTTAAGTGCTCGTGTACATCAATGAACTAACCAGTGCAATTGTTTGCCATGGTTTATTATCCCATCGAACGAAGTTCAGAGGGATATAGGGAACGCCTCCGTCTGTCCGTCCGTACATCCGTCCGTCCGGGCAATAACTCAAATACCGTTGGCCCGATTTTGTTCATATTTTGTACACATATATCCTATGGGGATAGAAGTTCTGTTTTAAAGCCGATTTTCAAAATGGCTGCTCATTTCAAAATGGCGGCCATTTTAGTGCCGATTTTACAGTAATTTAGGTGCAATATGTAAAACTGTAATAGCAATATGTTTTAAATGTAAAAAAATTATAAAGGACATTAATAATGCTACAAATGTAGATATTAAAGAAGCACATGGCAGCCATCTTGAAAAATGGCGGCCTTTACTCGTCATTTTACGATTTTTGCTGTAACTCAAAAAATAGTGGAGCGATTTTGTTCATATTTGGTATGTGAATACTATAAGCATTGCACACTGTCTAATGACACTTTTGGCAGAAGGCGGCCATTTTGAAAAAAAAATTGAAAAATGGCCGCCATTTTAACGTATTTTACTATAACTCGAAAAGTAGTAGAGCGATTTTGTTCATATTTGGTATGTGAATACTATAAGCATGGCACACTGTCCTATGACACTTTTGGTAGAGGGCGGCCATTTTGACAAAAATTTTGAAAAATAGCCGCCATTTTAACGTATTTTACTATAACTCAAAAAGTAGTGGAGCGATTTTGTTTATATTTGGTATGTGAATACTATAAGCATGGCACACTGTCCTATGACACTTTGGGTAGAAGGCTGCCATTTTGAAAAAAAATTTGAAAAATGACCGCCATTTTAACGTATTTTACTATAACTCGAAAAGTAGTGGAGCGATTTTGTTCATATTTGGTATGTGAATACTATAAGCATGGCACACTGTCCTATGACACTTTTGGTAGAAAGCGGCCATTTTGAAAAAAATTTTGAAAAATGGCCGCCATTTTAACGTATTTTACTATAACTCGAAAAGTAGTGGAGCGATTTTGTTCATATTTGGTATGTGAATACTATAAGCATGGCACACTGTCTATTTCTAATGACACTTTTGGTAGAAGGTGGCCATTTTGAAAAATGGCTGCCATTATAACGTATTTTACAATAACTTGAAAAGTAGTGGATTGAATCTTGTGGCAACATAATGATATAAACCTGGTCACTAAATATATCCCAATACATCCTCTCTAAACTTTATAATACATCTGTACACTTATTGGATTAGTTTTGATACTACTTTGTCACATACAGAATGGAGATAACATACCTAAAAGGTTTAGTTGGTATTATTTAGGGAGCACGTCAAAAGATCGATGTAGCGCAAAAAGCTATCAGTTAAGTCCTAGATATCTCTCTCCTCCCCCTGTTAACTATGTATAGAAAATGATGACACACACAATTTTTTAACAAAAAATATTATCACATGATTATTATTTCACAATTGTTTTTACCATGCCACTAATTATTCGCTGTATCAATATAAATATATGATAACTGTTAAAACATAAAAATGTCGTTTGGAAATAAGTAATTTAATAGATGGCGTGAATGTGAAAGAACGAAATGAAGTCTCAAAAGATTTCACTGGGTGGGATGATATCAGAATTAGCGGAGTGATATCAATATGAAACCTGATATCATCCCGCTAATTCAAATATCATCCCTATCCAAAATATGTGTTTTATCATTTATTATGTACCTGATATTGCTCTGACCATGGTATAAAACGTTAAACCATGCCATTTATTAAATATCGCTTTAAAGATTGAAATCATTTCCTAACAATATGATACCATCTGATTGAAAACCAATGTTTTCTTATGGAGTTAGGGGGCAAAATTGACACCAGGGGTGTCATGAGCAACCAAAAAATTATTCACTGCAGATTTCCCAAATTGTTGAAAATGGAGGGAAATTTGAAAAGAGGTATTTATACAAGTATAGAAATTTATACAAAATTCAGCAATAATACTTGTTTATTTTAAATTAATTATCAATTATGTATTACATTGTACTCTTAAATAAAGGATTGGTATCGATATGGAGAACTGAATTCAACAATGTTTTTTTCTTAAACCAATCATTGAAAACATTCTGTAAAAAACATGGTATTTTATGTAATGTTGACTGATTGACAACAATTTAATGCAATAATTATTTAGAAATGTTTTATATTACTGTTTTTGTTAACATTTTTTTTTTAGTGCAATTGTTTTTGCTCCTTTCTACCAATTCTTGAGAATGAAATAAAATGTCTTTCCAAACCTTGTTGGAACAAAATAGCATATACATGTTTTTAGACCTCTCAATATTATAGTTATACAAAGGAAATTTTGGTTGATTTTAAAAAAGTATTCAAAAAATTAAAACAAAATCCCCCCAAAATAGAAAAAAATCAAGATGAACCTTTTATTTCATAAACAAGATACTTTTTTAAAATCAACAAAAATTTCCTTTGTACAATTACAATATTGAGAGACCTAAACACATTTTGTTCCTATGAGGTTCGGAAAGATGTTTCATTTCACTTTGGAAACATGATACCAAGAACAAAACAAGTGTTTGATGTGTTTTCTAATACAATATAGATGTAAGTATAAATATATTTTTCAAATTATATTGCTACCATTCAAAAGATGACCATTAAATTGAAGATGTGTTAAATTTTTAGATTTTTTATGACTGGTTGAAGAGAAATGTGTGTTTAAAAAGTTCTCCATATCGATACCACTCCTTTATGATGATTCAGTTTCAGCATATTTCAGCATATTGAGTGCAACTGTAACTGCAGTATTGTGGGAAATTTTTGGAATTTTCATTTTTTGATTTTTGGTCGCTCATGCCACCCCTGGTGTCAATTTTAGTCTCTAATTCCACAAGAAAACAACAGTTTTTCAATTGGATGGTGTCATATTGTTAGGAAATGATTTATCTTTAAAATGATATATAATGCATGGCTAATTTAACATATATCATTTGAATCATTCATCTTTAAACTTTGTGGGCCAAAAAAACAATACCCAACTTCAAATCAGGATAAAAATAGTTACATTCAATATGGTACATTGACTTACATATCATTTTAAAGGTAATACATTTTAAAACAATTTGGTATATTACACTATGTCATATAATCAATAGTAAAGGTATATTATACTTATACGTATTTGGGAGGCCGGGTTGCTATTTATGGTTTCTAGCTTTTAGAGAGAAAACAGTAAATCTGCGGGATTTGTTAGGTGAATACATGCTTGTACATTTGCATCATTGTGTGACTAAATTTATTGTTTATGAATTTCAGTGTTGTTTAATAACATTTTACACTTCATAACAATTTTAAAAATTGCTCAGTATGCCCTCCCCCCTCTATGTCAACAATAAGCTTCAAGCGGTAGTGCCATCTATCAATAGCCTTATTGACAGATTTCTGTTGCAATTCATTTCAGCACTTTAAGATTCTGTGTTTCATCTCATCAATACTGTTTATTGGATGCTTGTGATTGTACCATTTCCCTGAGGTGACTCCATGTATGGTAATCAACCACATTAGCGACCCTAAATAACAACCCGGCCTCCCCTAAATAACAACCCGGCCTTCCAAATAAGTGTAATAAAACTTTACTATTGATTTTATGACATAGGGATATTGATCTTTTGGCGTGCTCCCTTAGAAAGATAATTAAAGATTATTTTTAGCCTCTTTTGTATATCAAAATAAAGATGGATTGTCAATAGAATAATTTACTTTTGGGAAATAATGGGAAATAAGAAGCTTGTTCAGAATTGTGTATTTAAGCAGCTGTCACGCAAGGCTTTGTGGGCTCACCATTTGCCACCGTGTTAATAATTTTGGACATTAATTTTCCGTTTTGTATTTAGTGTGAGGGAAGATATTTTGCTATTAAACTACTTGTATGCCCACTGTGCGTCCATGTCGTGCCCCACCATCTGCCCCAAAGTATTGACATTGTGGCAGACGGTGAGCCCACGTGGCCTTATGTGACAGATACATAAGGTTATGAGTATTGTTTTGCTATAATAATGTGTAGAAATAACATTGTAGACGCACTTTTTTTATCAGCTCACATGGTGAGCTATTGCAATATACCTATACGCGCTAACTTTTAACGTGCGAAATATTCTTATCTCCGCGTTGGAGAGTTCAGTTTCGTGATACAACTTTCTCAACATCCGGGCACTTTCCCATTGGAATAACATTGGCTGTGTTTTTCAATGACGCATTGTGACTTTATTAGAGGTTCATCATGAATTATATTTGCACATACGATAGATATGATCATTATAAAGACATTTGACAAGTTTTTTAAAAATATATTCACCAGAATCGTCAAAATCCTAAGTTTAAAATTCAAGTGACGTCACAGATTTCCCAGAAGTTGCTCAGTTCCCGGAACTTGCCCAGACGCCATAGAAAAAATAATCGAAGCAAATTGAATTTCCATCTTCTTTTCTAATTATTGTCTGGATTATAGAATATTATTATACATATGTACTAATGTTGGATCGGGATAATGCCTATGACGTTGTGTTTTGCGGACCAATAGAAAATTGTCCATGTTATCGTGTTGCATTGCGGGATATATTTATGTTAATGACCAGTAATTTCCTAACGCGAATAGGACTATTATTCACTTGTCCGTCTGTCTGTCCGTCTGACAATTGGCCCATTTTAAAACCTCTGTCGATAGGATTCCCGTTTAAAGTTGTTTTATTTCAAAATCAATATAGAAAATCCCCTGTGACTCCTGGTTCAAAAGCTCGCCTATTTTCAAAATGGCGGCCATTTTTGTCTCACACAATTCACTTTGGACCATTTGCTTTAAAACCTGTTGATAGGATTCCCGTTTTAAGTTGTTTTATTTCAAAATCAAAATAGAAAATCCCCTGTGACTCCTGGTTCAAAAGCTCGCCTATTTTCAAAATGGCGGCCATTTTTGTCTCGCGCAATTCGCTTTGGACCATTTGCTTTAAAACCTGTGTTGATAGGATTCCCGTTTTAATTTATTTTATTTCAAAATCAATAAAGAAAATCCCCTTTGACTCCTGGTTCAAAAGCTCGCCTATTTTCAAAATGGCCGCCATTTTTGTCTCGCGCAATTTACTTTGGACCGTTTGCTTTAAAACCTGTGTCGACAGGATTCCCGTTTCAAGTTATTTTTGTTCAACATCAATATAGATAACCCCCCTATGACTCATGGTTCAAAAGCTTGCCTTCTTTCAAAATGGCTGCAATTTTGTCTCAAAAATTCACTTTTAGACCATTTGCTAGCTTTATAAATATTTTCAGGTGTCCTGCAATTGTAAAAAGACATGTCACTGTAAAGAGTATTTGTATGCAATTATTTTATTTAAAAAAACTCAGCCAAAAAATTATATCCATTTTTTTATTTTCAGCCATTTTAATTAACATTGATTTGTCCATTTGTCTCGCGAAATCCATTTTTGGACCATTTGTTTTAAAAATTCTGTCGATAGGATTCCCGTTAAGTTATTTTTGTTCAACACCAATACAGAAAACCCCCCTGTGACTCATGGTTCAAAAGCTCACCTATTTTCAAAATGGCTGCCATTTTTGTCTCGCAAAATTCACTTTTGGACCAATTGGTAGCTTTATAAATAATTTCAGGTGACCTGCATTGAAAAAAGCTATGTCACTCTAAAGAGTAGTTTTATGAAATAATAATAACATTGATTTGTCTCTCAGTCAGCCGACAACAGAAGCATGTTTTAAAACCTGGGTTAATTAGACCCGGGGGTTTCACTCCAATATACTTCTTAATACTTATGTGCCGCCCCAAAGACCCCCATTTTGAGCATTTTCCATGTTAATTTCCTCTCAAGATTGAAGGTTTCCATGTTTAATTCCTCTGACACTAATAATTGACTAAAAAATCAACTTTTCTAGTGATTTATTCCAGGCCTCAGCAACTGATTTAACAAATTTAATATAATTTTCTGTAGAAAAACTGAATTTTGACTTAAAAAGGGTACTTTCTCAGACAATTTTCCACGTTTTTTCCTCTCAGATTGGCCAAGTTCTATGTTTTATGCTCAAAGCCAAAATTGACCATGCTGCACATACCTACCCATATTATTTGGAGTGAACCCCTGGGAAATAAGATTCCTAGTTTTAATTATTTTGGTTCCTCTTGAATACAGAAGTCCCTCTTGTGAGTCCAGGTTCAAAAGCTTTCCTATTTTTTCAATGGCTGCCATTTTAGTTTTAGTTTTTGTCAATTCAGTAGCTTTAAAACTGATTTCAGCTGTCCTTCATTGTAAAAGCCATATCACTATAAAGAGTAGTTTAATGATATAATTTTGTAAAGAATTGGAAAAAATTTATGCTTTTTTTAATGTTTGCCATTTTAGCCATCATTCACTATTTTCCTTGCTGACCAACACCATGTGAGCCCAGTACCCATGGTGCTATTTATTTATTTGATTTGATTTGAAAACTATATTTATTCTGGGTAGCACTTTCAGTACAAAAACTGGTCTTCCTAGAGGCCCAGTATTAATGAATCTGAGATGAATGAATGAGATGTTATATAATATTCTAATGAGAGTCTATAATCACCAAACTATTGAGCTGAATAGCTTTCATTGAGTCCTAATAGTCTAATTTGTTGGTAGAATCTAGCTCTAATGAAGTAATATACATCAAAGTCGTATCTTAGCAAATCTTTAATAGTTGATTCTGTCTCTTTATTTGGCTGGACTTTATTCTTTCCAACATTAGCCCTTCCACTCCCTAAGGCTGCTCCTGTGAAATATTTTGGGAAAAGTTTCTCTAGTGCAAGCAGACTAAGACTGAGTTCCTCTAAAAGGCCTACGAACTGATAGTGCTTGGCTATGTTTGCCTTGGCCTGTTGTACTCCTAGGTGTGACAGGGTATTGTTAAGACATATGTCACTCGTGCCACAGAACACTCGCATTATCTCCCGGAATGCACCACAGTAGTTTAAGTTGTCAGGATTGTTCATGATACACTCATCAAATGTCATGTTTTTACTATGCTCCATATCAAGACACACAGCTAATCCAGGACGACATGTACGCTGTTTGTAATAATACAGTGACACGATGCGTGAGTACGGCTCACGTGCGATATTGTAATATATTGGGTTTGAATAATTATAGCTGTTAAAATCCACAAAATAGATATCATTATATCTAACAAAATTTGATTGTTTCATAAAATCTTTGATATAAGATAATGTTTGTGCTTCATCTCCTGTGGTTTTTATTCCTGTGCTACGTTTATAAACATACTTAAATTTGTTCCGTCTTGCTAATTTTGCAAGCAGTACCACGTGAGAAGTTGAGCCACATTTAGGTAATCCATTATAAAACACCCTAGTGGTATCCAGGGGCAACTTTGGCTTTTTTAACAGCTTCAAATACAGCGACTCCTCAGCAGTTCTTGGTTGAGAGAAAAATCGGGAAATGCCAGAACTGTTAAAAACCATAGCTGGGTATGACGTTCCTTGTAGTTTATGCAGTATAACTATCAATACAAGTATTAAAACAAGAACAAGTTTTATATGATTACAGCGTAGATTCCGTTTCAAATATTGTTCAGTGTGTCTCCTCATCATGGTAAATGGTTGATTTTAAAGTTAATATTATATATCCTCTTTTTTATTCTTGTGTTATCCTCTTATCGTCCACTGATCCCTCAGAATTATATGCTTGATTTCCAAATATCTTGATTATTTTCTCAAGTTAATCGCTATTGAATCACATACATTTATCAAAATATGAGTTCTCCCTGCCTTGATTGTATCCATAGTAAATGAATTAAGTGGTAGGCATATCCACAATGCAGTAATTATCTCAATTGATCTTAGGGGCGGGGTCAAAATATCAATGTTCATATGGAGACAAAAGTAATTTCGTTTGGACAACAACCCCCCCACCCCCCCTCTAGACGAAAGCTTAGGTCACTTCAAAAAAACATTGGCATAATCGTATCCTATTTGCCGGGTTATTATTACGGTGAATTAACACACGTTCGCAATTTAACTGCATTGAACTCTTCAAAAGGAGGAAGGAAAAGTACAGAATTTATTTGAAAAATGATCGAATTATCGTCTTTATGTACCGATATTTTGGACCTATCACACAAAAAAGCTCACGAACTATTGAAAACAAGCCTTTTTATCAGAACATAGCGCTAGAAAAAGTGGGTAAGTCCAATTATTTTTTGTATATCAGATCCGAATTATCGATGTTTTTTTGGTCAACGAAAGTGCCCAAAAACCCCCTCCCCCCCTCGCGAAAGTACTTTCGTCTCCATTTGAACATCGATATTTTGACCCCGCCCCTTAAATGCATTTATAGCATATCACGTCATGTCTTCCTGCAGGCCCTAAGCCCTTAAGGTTCATAAGGACTTTAATGTCAGTTTCTTTTTTCAAATGGTATAGATTACTTACAGTTAGATATAGCGAGAAAGAGATAAAGCCATGAGGCTATATTTAGATTTTAGAAGGGTCTTCTAGAGCTAGGCATACTTGAAAGTGAAACTAGGTCATAATCAGTTTCATAAAAAAGTATCGAGGCCTCTTGACAAAGATGCTGTTTTTTCTATGCCCTTTTAACTTCATATTCTGTTTGGCTTGCATCTTCATCTTTTCACACTTGAACAACAATAAATGCTCTTTCCAATGGTATATAGTATGTGTGTGGACGTCCCCTAGTTTATGCTGTAGGGGGACAACACCAAATGACACACTACCCTATACCATGAATACGCGTGATAAATAGCTCATCTGTTTAAGTAAATAAATGAAGTATTGAATTCTCTTTAAGTGCTTGTGGTGATCAATGAACTAACCAGTAGTGCAATTGTTAATTGCCATTGTTTATTACTCTGAAGTATGCAATTCAAATCAAAGTTACTACATGCATGCTATGCTACCCTTTATCAAATAAAGGAAACCAATAGAATCTCATGTTTAAGAACTCCTATTCTAATGAATTATTGATAAAGCATATACCCAGTAACCTAATTGAACTGGTTGAGAATCAATCAGCCAGTTTTTTTGAGATAATGAGGATTTTGTTTATTTCCATGATTATATGATGATATCCCCATGTTAAGTCAATATACCCTTGCCGAATCCTCATTTTTTATGTCACCACCACATGTGGTTGTGGATGGTGACTGGCAGTTGGTGTTTGGCGTTTTGTGGTTGACATTTTACATGTTAATGCTGTTTTATTTGTTGTAATCCATCCATGACCATATTTCCAGCCGATTGGTGATGAGTCAAATGCAAATGTGTTAGAGACTGTTGGGGAAAAGAAAGGTATGAAAACAATACAAGATTTATCAGAATGTTTAAGGAATTTATATCAATTTTCCTCTTACAACTCCTCTTCCAGGAACACATGACAAAATGGTTCGGGTTTTAATATGGGAAGAAAAATTGAAAAAGTCTAGTTCCCAAGTAACTTCTTAAATATTTGGTAAATGCTTCATTTATATAGTCAGATTATACCATTGATATGAAAGCAACAAGGGCAACAATTAAGATACAACCCATATTCCATATTACTTAAAAGTTATTTCTGTGTTTCAGAGTTTGACTTTGCTGTGAAGTCAGTGGTAGAATTAGGAGAGCACTTGGATATTCTTCGCACAAGGTAACTCATATATCATATATACTCAACAGAGATTTAATATAGGGGCCACCTTAAATGTTTTGTATTACAAACTATATGATTGCAATCTATTTATTTAATGCTAGATCACTCAGCAAGCCTTGTAAAGAAAATAAACTCTTTTGACTGAAAAAGTAATAAAAATGTCAGCCATGGGATTTGATACACTTTGACGTTGCTGTTATCAAGTTTGAACATTCTAACTCACATTTTAATGATGTTTGAGCAATTTAAAAATTGGGTCCAGTGGTCTTTGTTACTATTGATCGATCTATTGAGAAGGTCTGTATAATCATGCCTGTAGGGTTTGTGCGAGCATTAAACTTGTTTTTCATCCAAAAACATCAATACACTTTGAAACATTTAATTGACTTTAAGATTGCACCATACAATCCCCAAAAAATATTTCTCATTTCCAAGGGCCATCTATTGATTCCATTTTTCTAATTTCAGAGGACTGGGAATCATTGATCCTATTGTGATGTTTTAAAAAGGTTTCATGTATGCCAATAATTTCTCAAATTGTGTAAATGGTACCCATTCCTTAATCCCTAGAATTTTCTTTTTGAGGAATTTCCCATAGAAATCCAACTGTACAGTTCCAAGCAGATTTTGAGATAACAGGAAAGTAAATTGTTAATACACACCTTTTTGGGATGCGATATAAACCAAAACATTTCTTTCCAGATTTACCTTGCGGGAAACGAAAAATTAAATTTTGTTGATAATTCATTGAAGCAAGATCCTGTTCTCGAGTAGCATTGTCTCATCATGAGTAAGCTTTGAATAACAAATCATTGATCTATTTCTAAAAATTGCCATATTTTTTATCAACATGAAACCATAAACATCAATTTTCTCAAATATCAATTTTGTATAAAGACTTTAATTAACATGATCAATGTAAGGGTAATTAAGCCGAGTGACATTACAACCATTACAACACAGCTGGTTCATTGGACATTATTTTTAAGGAACATAATATTGTGTAAAGTCGCAAAGATTAACCGTTTGTTTGATTGAAATGGAATACAATAAGATTAAAATACAATACAATCACCTACTATGTGACAAGATGTGAACTAAAGTATTTACATGTAAGTGATCAGGTGTGACCAGACCTGTTGTTCGTAAAAACTCATGGATACGTTTATTGCCAAAGTAGGGCTTGTATAGCAATCGATATTTCCTTTAAAGACCTATAACTTTCTTGAACCTGAAGAAACGTATCAATTTTTTGTTCAATAAAAATAGCAAATTCAATTGCCTATCTAACTTGTATTTTTTGCAAGGACTCTGATGGATGGATATTCTGTCACATGACTTGCGGCAAACCTACCATTTCCCATTGGTTAACATGGGAATGTCGATTTTCAAAAATTCTTCAAAATCATCAATTTTCGACCTATTGTAATTGAGGAAAAAAATTGAGAAAATTTGGAGGTATTTGAAATAAAGTCACGGCGTGATAATTTCCTAATCAAATGTAATTTTCACCCGTATTGTCTTTTCGGAGATATGATTATTTTTTCGTTTCTGAGAACATGAATAGATATATGCCATGTTCGAATTTTGGAAAGATGTCAAACTTAAGGCGTCACACGTAACAAATGACGACAAGGAGACCTAGGAATATTTTTGTATTTTTGACAAGGCATAAAAATCATAATGTATATAATTGGACATGCTTTCAAAGATATGTCATTAGAGTTTACAAAAACCAATCCTATGACATATCTATGTGTTATATGTGACTTCCATCTTCCCATTTTGTGATTTTAGCAATGTTACACTCAGTTCTGGACCAAGGACCTACTACTTCAAGGGGGCACTTGCTAGACTGGAACAGGCTTTAGTGCGATACACTGTTGAGAAACTTCTTGCTCGGGTAATTATGCCTTTAACATTTTAGCTCATTGTTTTTAACTTAAAAGTAGTTGTGTACTTTAAAACTGTGTAAAATTATAGTCAAGTCAGTACTCATATTATTTATATCATATTTTTTTGTTAATTTTTAATAAGAAAATTTATACTCATAGATGAATGAAACATTCTTGAGATTGTGACAAGACATTTCCAAAAATGTAGAATAATACTATTCATGTTAAATGCATTAGACCACATAGCTGTAAACAACAATATGCCTACTTAAACACAGTTGCTATTAGCACACTGGAATACAGTAAAGTCAGATACCGTTGTCACAAATGGCAGACATAACCGTCGCTTCAACTGTTTAATCACTTGGTCCTCATTTCATGGGATTTTATCGTCGCTAATTCTGTGCATGCATTAAGCTCTTATGATAATGTATCATATGAAATCCCATTTTTGATAAAATTCGGTCTTGAATCGCCACAATATAGCGTCTTCGATATTGTCAATAACAACGGAATCTGAATTTGAGTAATTTAGAAAGACAACGGCATAGGGTAATTACAGTGTCCGTTGTCCCGTATCTCATTTTGATCGGTTAAATTAAAGACTATATTTTGATGGTAGAACATTATTAACTGTACAAAGAGTATTAAGACACTTTGATTGATTGTTGTTCCAAAGGAATTTCATCCTCCTAAGCAGGTATCCAGAATCCGTACCTCCTTCTTCCCCCTGCTATAACCAATTTGGAAGCACCCGATTAAACTGAATCACGTGATCTAACTAATGACTTATACATGATTTCTGTCGCAGTGTTGGGACAGCCAATCAGATTGCGAGTTCTTAATCGGGGAAATGCTAACTGCTTATAGCAGGGTGTAAAAAGAAAGAAGATATTCTGGATTTTGAAGCCCTGTGATTGGAGGGTGAAAGAATTTAGTCTAGGTGCTCTATTAAACATACAGTTCATGAAAATCTAATTGAAGCGACGGTTATGTCCGCCATTTGTGACAACGGTATCTGACTTAACCCTAGTCAGGCTATTCCGGGGTGATTAGAGTACTTATGATTCTTCTATAGATTTCGCTCTAATCATAACAATAGAGCTTTGTTGTGAGGCATAACCATGTATTTTCTACAAAATATGTTATGATGTCATAACAATATAGAAAATGAAGTCATATTATTATGAAGCTTTTCACCAACTTTTAGGTAGTTTTTGGTTATAAAAAGGTGAAAGTATGTCATTCTCCATTTTCCTTCACTATTTTTATGTTTTCACTATTAAAGTCGAACAGACCTCATTGACACAAATTAATTAATATGTACATTATGTAACATTGTTCTTTCAAAATGATGGATTCAAACATGTACAATGGGCCTATACACAGACATTATACATACATTATATGATTCATATATAGTGTTGTGTTTCTGGAGAGAATATACACAAATGCATTATTGATAACTAGAATGTCTGTCTAGCTATTACACAACAAACTAGTTATATCAGCCATGGTCCACATTGCACTCCTCTCTCATCAGAGGTTTCACTCCAATATACCTCTTAATACCTATGTGCCGTGCAAAAAAAACTTTCTGAGCATTTTTTCCATGTCAATTTCCTCTCAAGATTGAAAATGTCCATGTTTAATTCCCCTCGGGAGTTTGCTGGGACTATATTTCTTGAATATCATTCAAATTGAATAGAAAATCCACTATCCTGTAATTTGTCCAAGGACTTGGCAACTGATTTTAACCAATTTAATACCATTTTTTATACAAATCTGAATTTTGACATAAAACGACAATTTTCCATGTTTTGTTCCTCTCAGATTGTACCGTTTCCATGGTTTATGGTCAAACCCAAAATTGGCAGTACTGCACATACCTATCCAAATTATTCAGAGTGAACCCCCGGGCTCTTTTCATTCTTGAACCACAGCAATTATATCAAACATTTATAATTCTGAATTATTCAAACTCCACTACGAGGTCCTTATGGTTCACCATAACTTTGTGGTACTCTGCATCAAAGAGTTCATTCTGTGCAACAGTGAAGTAATTCTTCCATCCTCCTATTTCACCTGTAATAATTATTTCATAGTTTAAAAAACATATTGCAGTATGGAAGTTGAAATCCTTTATGAGTGCAATATTATTGCACTATGAGTTATGTGTATGTGGGGAGGTTAAGTTTCACATTTTTAATATAAGAGAACCAAGGGACTACTGTTTCACTTTCCAGAGACCGAATTACAATTATTTTCTGTCTACCTTTGTACTCAATCTGCCAAGTTAAAAGTAAATAAAACCTGGAATACAGGGTGTTCCATATGTTTCAGGAATGATGCTGTGTTTTATTGGTTTTCTTTTCAATCTAACTGAACACAATGTGTCTAAACATGTTTTTAATAAGTTGGGAAAGTTTCATATCGTAAAGTTCAGTAGTCTTAATTATATGGTTGCTATAGTAACCTAGTGATAGGGTAGGTGGAGCAGGTGTAACAACGCGCAAAATATATGAAATATTTGTAAAAATAGTTTTTTTTGTACGAAGTGTGACTAAGTATTAGGTTGTCAGAGTTGAATCAAACTTGTCAGTAATTAAACAAAAATGAAGGTGGATTCCAAGAAAGTAAAAAAAATGTCATCACCCTTGATCACATCCCAATTTAAAGACCTGTCATGTCATGAGTCACAAAGGAGAATAAACACCAGTCATTTTGGACGAGTGGCCATCTTGAAAAGTGAAAAAGTCATTAGCAAAGGAAAACCTTCGACTTAGGCAACACACAACAATCTGTGACAAGACAAGACATGTCTGAATAACAGATGCTGAAATAATGATGATGGCTAATAAAGGGTGTGATAACATTTTTAATTTCCAGGAATCCACCTTTATTCTTTTTAATTTCCAACAAGTTTCATCCGACTATGACAAATTAATACTTTGAACACTTTATACAAAAACTACACTTTTTACAAAAATGTCATGTTTTGCGCGTTGTTACACCTGCTCCACCTACCCTACCCCTAGGTTACTATAGCAACCATATTATTCAGTCTACTAAGTTACATGATATGAAACCTTTCCAACTTATTCACAACATATTTGGACACATTTTATCAATAAACCAATAAAATACAGCATGATTCCTGAAACATATGGAACACCCTGTAAATCAAGTAGTTCTTTCTTAACTCCCATCCTCATCAACATTACAGCTGGTGCAGTTTTGATGATGGAAATACTAGTAGATAGGCAGAGGCATCATTTGGGTAGAATTGCTTGCATATATCCATACAATAGCAACATTGTCCTTACCTTTACGAATCATGCCAGGCTTTCCTTGTTTCACCAATTCTGTTAATGGATCTAGCTTTGGATTTTTCTTCATCGCTTTTATGCTACAAGCTTTTTCCACTTCCTCATAGAAGTTCATGTCGTAGGTTTTCCCAAGGAATTCTGATAATTTCTTTACATTTGTGACAAAGTCCTGCAAAATTATATGTGTTCCAAGAATCTAGATTTATTGAGAATATACAAATGTCAACATTTGAAGTAAAAATTAATACAAATCCTTACAATTTACAAGAACCATGTACAAAATGTACATACAAAAACAACAACTCTAATATGCCCCATATTTTAAACCCTTTTCTGTGTGCAATTGTTTTTTACTTTTTGTCAAGTTTTGATTAGGTTGTTTAGAGTATGAACCTGTTAAATTGGCAATGTAGGATTCATTTTAGCTCTACTCTGAAGAGTAGCATTAGTTTAGGGGAATTTTGACATTTAAAGGGATCCACCACCTTACAAAACTTCTTAACGGAGAGGAATAAGGGAAAATGCTTGCCGGATTCTGAATCTGTGTATTTTTTAATGATTTTTCACCGTCTTAGAGATTTTGTTTTAAAAACCATGGATATCAAGGCTAAATATAGCTATACAGTAAACATAAAAAAGCAACGCTTGGACTCTTCATATTCACACAAAAAATTAATTAGTAAATGAGGTTTGATATTTGTGAGAATAAGTTGTACGAGGTGCAATGCTCTACAAACACCAGACTACAGGGTGGATTAGGATCAATGGCACACATGAAAATTTATTTAAAAATATTTCATGATAATTATCTCAAACAAAAGCAGTTGGCGAAGGATACGTTTCATTACACTCAATAAATAGTTATCACTTTTGACTATATATACATATCTCATGGGAATGTATTTCCATCTGCTCAAGATATTATATTTAAGCTTCGAAAATCACAATCGTTGGATAATACATTTGTCTCAGAATGATAGGCCACCCTGTAGCAATTTAGCTTTCACTTGAAGTGTACCCTTGAGAATAATGAACTTACTTTCAAATAGGTCTTGCTTTTGTGGTGTATGTGGCTTTTTAGCAAATCTGCCACGCTCATTTCTTTCCAGAACCATCTTGTTCAAATGTATCACTAATATACTGTCAATTATCCTGATCCATATATTTCACACGCCATGGATGCGCGCGAAGTACGGTGTTTTTTTCTCAGAAATGGCAGAAAAAAGGTGGAGGGGGATTGAGCCACACGCGGGCAAGAATGAGAAACAACTAATTTAATTACCCTAACCTTAGTTCATCCATTAGTACGTTTTTACTGCACAAACTGACCAATACATGAGGGTATTAGCTACTTTTCACATAAACCAAAGGAGGACAGTGCTTTTATTTCAACTGGGAGCTTACCTCCACACGACTGATCATGTGACCATGGTGGTGGTCCCCTTTGAGAAATTATACAATTTTAGAAATTTAATATTTTCAGTTCAATACCAGAAACTGACCTAAAAATGATAGAGAATATCTGAGCAAAAAGCATTCTCCAATGATTTTCAAAACATGTGCTGATTTAATTTGTTAAATTTTCCAAAATGCCAGTAGAAATATGCACCTGATTATAAGACTGGTGACAGTATCAGTATTTTACCTTTTTCATTTGCTCATAGCTTAGTATGAGTGTATTCTTGTCATTCTTGATCTTCTCCCACCAGTTAGGTACATTATCCAACCACCGACCAGCTTGATCTGTAAGATATTAACTGTATTTTGAATTCAATTATTACAGACATATAGGGACATCATGATCTCTGTGTTTGGCAATAATGTTTACCATATGATTTGTGCGTTTTGATCGATTTCGTGACACTTGATACGAGACCACAGTAGGTACAGATTTAAGTTTAATCACCTAGCTTGAAGATAACATTGACTGTTTGGTTAAGTGTTATCTCTTGACTGTAATAATAAAAATCTCGATTGCCTGATTTTGAAAAAACTGATATGAAGCCTGTCATGTTTTGACAATATTTTTAGGTTGAATCACATTTATCTATATACTATATACTGGTCAAAAACTATTTTAGAGTCATAGAAGTAAAGGTGTATGGAAGTCAAATAGTCATACATATAGATTAAGAACAATTGTAAAGGTCAAGGTCATGCACTAGAGATTTCGAATTATCTACTTACGGGTTCCACTGATTAATAAATCAAAGTATTGGTCCCAGGTTCCAGTTCCAGCCTGAACTGTGGTCATGTGATAGAAAAAAGAAACAGCCACATCCTTAGGGTTTCGGTAGATATAGAATATCTTGCAACCTTTCTTCAAGATGTCCTGTAAAAATGCAATGTAATGTAAGATGTTGATAAACATGAGAGATACGTACAATGCATATAATATAAGTTATGCACAGCATACATAATACATATAATATAAAGTTTTATACAAATTTGAGAATAATCATCTTGTAAAAATTTACTTGACATGATTATTAGGAGAGTTAAGGAGTTACTAATTAGAGAGCACATACGGGAGCCATGTGATCGTATTCGAAATGGGTCAAGAGGATTCTGGGAGATGGCATCGCTTCAAGTTCCTCCATTGTTCTTATTTCAATGAAATTGCTCTCCTTACACTTATTCGCACTTTTGGTGGTATGATTTAGCAACATTTGGACGACTTCAAACATCCAGTGATGGCCTAGAAAATATTTGAAGTTGATTGAACCTTTTCTTTAGAAAAAATTGCTCAATAAAATGTATCATTGCGTTCCAATGAGCTATTTAAATGTATCTTATGTATTACCATAATTCTGTGGTTCATAAAGAATTTATGAAAATCTTTTTTTTATGATTTAAGACTCAAGTTAAAGGCTTCTTGTTGCTTTGCATTATAGTGCAGACTGGATATACACATACAGTACCTGATTTAGGATAAGCAGAGATGATAATATCATCCTCTCTAGCTTTGAAGTTCATCCAGGTTTTGTACCATTCTGCAAGATCCATGTCGGATTCTTCTCCGAAACAGTCAGGGGCTGGAATATCGGGAATCTGTGAAGAGTAAAATGCAACATTTAATAAAAATAACAAATTATTTTCAAGTACATATATAAAATGATGACCAGTGAATGGAAATGTTAAAGTTTGGTACTTTGTGATGATGAATTTTTGGAATTCTTTGCAAGTCTTCCTAATATTAATTTTCTTATTATGGTCATCGTGATTATAGATAATTTATTCATTCAGATATTAGAGATAGATGTTACACAACAAAAATAAATTAACTCACTTTCCATTTCTTGGGCCACATGTTCAGCCAGTATGTTCCCTTGAAGACTTCACAGTGCATGTTATGCTTGAACACACATATTACTGGTTTTTCTGGATCTAGTTTACTTATATCCTCAGTAAACTCTCCCTTAACCGTGTCTACTGCATTTACAGCCATTGCTTTCTTGTGTTTATTGCTGGAACCCACTCAAAGTTGTGAGTCACTTTGTCTGTTTTTTTTTAACTCTCAAACTGAAAATAATTCTGTTGTTTACAGTGTTGCTTGTGTCACCTTTTGTACCAATTTAATACGAATTCTGTATGTAACTTCATATGTCATGTATGTCCCTTTCTAAATGTAAACACTGCAGTTGAATTGGTATTAAAGCTGTACAACAGTTTCTAATTGTATGTATATATATGTAATATCTTATGTTCTCATATCAATTTTATGCGTAACCTACAATAATGTCGCTAAGTGGTGTGATGCACTGTTATGTTTATCATGTTAAGATCAGAGTTAATATACATGCAGACAAGAGTTGACTTGACAGCTGATAAAAAGATTGTACCTTATAAACTCTTATATGTATCGGGTGTCCCAAAAAAGGTGAGACACTTTTGACAAGTATTTCCTCAGCAATCGATAAACCAAATTCACTGAAAATGTGTACATTGTAGCCCAGGAGTATCATTAGCAAGTTGTAAATATATAAAAAAAAACATCAAGTAAAGGTAATCGTACTAAGAAATTCAAAATAGCGAAGCAAGGCAATGAGATCTTCATAGCATTTGTATAAAGCAATAGATAAGCCAAGTTCTTTGAAAACATTATTTGAGACACTTTAGGGTATTCCAGCTTGTGCTATGAATATGTAAGAGATTGGTTACATATTATGTGAGAATTATTTAATTAAAGACAATATGATAAAATAAACAATATCAATGTAAAAGTAACTTATTAATCCATTTCCAAGCAAAATACTTTTCTGTATTTATTCTATAATATCACCTTCAATGAATTTTGCTATATATGTCAAGGTTTAGGGACAAAAATTTATGTCATTTTAAAGTAAAGCTTTTTTTTCTTTACAATGACGAGTTGAGAAATTTAAAAACATCCCACTTACTGAACTTTTAAACTTTTAAGGCATGTATTTTCAAAAAGCTTTACATTGGCGATATTCCATTACATTCTTGGACTTTGATTATTTTACGATTGAAAGTTGTGAACTTTTATATCAGGCATTTCAAATAGCTTTACATTGGCGATATTCCATTACATTCTTGGACTTTGATTATTTTACGATTGAAAGTTGTGAACTTTTATATCAGGCATTTCAAATAGCTTTACATTGGACATATTCCTTTACATTCTTGGACTTACAATATTTTACGATCTGAAGAGGTGAACTTTTACAGCATGCATTTTCAAAAAGCTTTACATTGGCCATATTCCTTTACATTCTTGGACTTAGAATATTTCACGAAGCAAAGTTGTGAACTTTTTATGCAGGCATTTTCAAAAAGCTTTACATTGGCGAAATTCCATTACATTCTTGGACTTAGATTATTTTGCGATTGAAAGTTGTGAACTTTTATAGCATGCATTTTCAAAAAGCTTTACAATGGCCATTTTCCTTTACATTCTTGGACTAAGATTATTTTACGATATAGAGAACTGAAATTTATGGCATGCATTTTCAAAAAGCTTTACATTGGCCATTTTCCTTTACATTCTTGGACTTAGATTATTTTATGATATATAGAAGTGTAATTTATGGCATGCATTTTCAAAAAGCTTTACATTGGCCATTTTACTTTACATTCTTGGACCTAGAATATTTTGCGATTGAAAGTTGTGAACTTTTATAGCATGCATTTTCAAAAACCTTTACATTAGGGATATTCCTTTACATTCTTGGACTTAGATTATTTTACTATATATACTTGATTACTTTCAAGGCATGTATTTTCAAAAAGCTTTACATTGGCCATATTCCTTTACATTCTTGGAATTAGAATATTTTACGATCTGAAGTTGTGAACTTTTTATGCAGGCATTTTCAAAAAGCTTTACATTGGCGAAATTCCATTACATTCTTGGACTTAGATTATTTTGCGATTGGAAGTTGTGAACTTTTATAGCATGCATTTTCAAAAAGCTTTACATTGGCCATATTCCTTTACATTCTTGGACTTAGATTATTTAACGATCTATAGAAGTGAAATTTTATGGCATGCATTTTCAAAAAGCTTTACATTGGCCATTTTCCTTTACATTCTTGGACTTAGTGAACTATTATGCAGGCATTTTCAAAAAGCTTTACATTGGCGAAATTCCATTACATTCTTGGACTTAGATTATTTTGCGATTGAAATACTTGATAACTTTCAAGGCATGTATTTTCAAAAAGCTTTACATTGGCGAAATTCCATTACATTCTTGAACTTAGATTATTTTGCGATTGAAAGTTGTGAACTTTTATAGCATGCATTTTCAAAAAGCTTTACAATGGCCATTTTCCTTTACATTCTTGGACTTAGAATATTTTACGATCTATAAAAGTGAAATTTTATGGCATGCATTTTCAAAAAGCTTTACATTGGCCATTTTCCATTACATTTTTGGACTTAGATTATTTTACGATCTACATGTATAGAAGTGTAATTTTATGGCATGCATTTTCAAAAAGCTTTACATTGGCCATTTTCCTTTACATTCTAGGACTTTGAATATTTCACGAAGCAAAGTTGTGAACTTTTTATGCAGGCATTTTCAAAAAGCTTTACATTGGCGAAATTCCATTACATTCTTGGACTTAGATTATTTTGCGATTGAAAGTTGTGAACTTTTAGAGCATGCATTTTCAAAAAGCTATACAATGGCCATTTTCCTTTACATTCTTGGACTTGGATTATTTTACGATCTATAAGTATAAAGTGAAATTTATGGCATGCATTTTCAAAAACCTTTACATTGGCCATTTTCCTTTACATTCTTGGACTTAGATTATTTTACGATGTAAACTTGAAAAATTTTAAGATATGTATTTTCAAAAAGCTTTACATTGGCCATATTCCTTTACATTCTTGGACTTAGCTTATTTTACGATATATTATGATAACTCTTAAGGCATGTGTTTTCAAAAAGCTTTACATTGGCCATTTTCCTTTACATTCTTGGACTTAGAATATTTCACGAAACAAAGTCATGAACTTTTTATGCAGGCATTTTCAAAAAGCTTTACATTGGCGAAATTCCATTACATTCTTAGACTTAGATTATTTTGCGATTGAAAGTTGTGAACTTTCAAACATGCATTTTCAAAAAGCTTTACATTGGCCACATTCCTTTACATTCTTGGACTTAGATTATTTTACGATCTATAGAAGTGAAATTTTATGGCATGCATTTTCAAAAAGCTTTACATTTGCCATTTTCCTTTACATTCTTGGACTTAGAATATTTTGCGATTGAAAGTTGTGAACTTTTATAGCATGCATTTTCAAAAAGCTTTACATTGGCCACATTCCTTTACATTCTTGGACTTCCTTTACATTCTTGGACTTAGATTATTTTACGATCTATAGAAGTGAAATTTTATGGCATGCATTTTCAAAAAGCTTTACATTTGCCATTTTCCTTTACATTCTTGGACTTAGAATATTTTGCGATTGAAAGTTGTGAACTTTTATAGCATGCATTTTCAAAAAGCTTTACATTGGCCACATTCCTTTACATTCTTGGACTTAGATTATTTTACGATCTATAGAAGTGAAATTTTATAGCATGCATTTTCAAAAACCTTTACATTGGCTATATTCCTTTACATTCTTGGACTTAAAATATTTTACGATCTAACGAGGTGAAATTTTACAGAATGCATTTTCAAAAAGCTTTACATTGGCCATATTCCTTTACATTCTTGGACTTAGAATATTTCACGAAACAAAGTCATGAACTTTTTATGCAGGCATTTTCAAAAAGCTTTACATTGGCCATATTCCTTTACATTCTTGGACTTAGAATATTTCACGAAACAAAGTCATGAACTTTTTATGCAGGCATTTTCAAAAAGCTTTACATTGGCCATTTTCCTTTACATTCTTAGACATAGATTATTTTACGATCTAACGAGGTGAAATTTTATGGCATGCATTTTCAAAAAGCTTTACATTGGCCATATTCCTTTACATTCTTGGACTTAGAATATTTCACGAAACAAAGTCATGAACTTTTTATGCAGGCATTTTCAAAAAGCTTTACATTGGCCATATTCCTTTACATTCTTGGACTTAAAATATTTCACGAAACAAAGTCATGAACTTTTTATGCAGACATTTTCAAAAAGCTTTACATTGGCCATTTTCCTTTACATTCTTAGACATAGATTATTTTACGATCTAACGAGGTGAAATTTTATGGCATGCATTTTCAAAAAGCTTTACATTGGCCATATTCCTTTACATTCTTGGACTTAGATTATTTTACGATCTAACGAGGTGAAATTTTATGGCATGCATTTTCAAAAACCTTTACATTGGCCATTTTCCTTTACATTCTTGGACATAGATTATTTTACAATCTACATGTATAGAAGTGAATTGAAAGTTGTGAACTTTTATAGTACACTGTATGCATTTTCAAAAAGCTTTACAATGGCCATTTTCCTTTACATTCTTGGACTCGGATTATTTTACGATGTTAACCTTGACTTGTTCTTCACCTTACATGTACCTACGTGTACTTCTGAGTAATTTGTAATTAACAATCAAATCAACAAATATTCACATATCATATTAGCAGATGTCTGGCGAAATTACATTACAATAAGATATTCTGATCGATAGTATTTGGTTATAAAACCAGAAGTGTTTTGGGTGTTACTAAATACCACCTAGGTGTTCCCTTGGGCACCTGGATTTATAATTCCATTTTAAACCACATACACATTTTAAATATAGTATTATTTCCTTTGTCATATTACCTTGACATATAATAGACTTGAAATAATAATTTGTAGTCGAGAATATTGCAAAGAAATGTAAAATAGTGCAATGAAATGTAAAAAGATTTATTGTTAGATGGCCACCTGGAATTTTGTTCATGTATGTATGGTCACTTATTTGTAGTAATAAAACTGTTTTAATGCTAAAATG